TTTGTTGTAAGAATATCTATTGCCTGTTGTTTGTTTAACTTATCTATATTATGATTTTGAGCTGCAATATTTTGGTAGAGGTTTAAGTATAAATAAAAGTAATAGTTGTGATGTTTAGAGTTGGTTTGAACATTATTGGCTTTGCAAGCAGAATCTTTTGCCGCAGTTGCAAGTTTGTCAAGTAAAGTTGTTGGAATTTGTTTGTTAAAAGATGCCTCATGTTTGCTATTTTTATAAAATAAAGAGAGGTCAAGTTTGGGTTGTTGCCAAATTTTGTTCTTTTGTTTAGAAAAATCAATATAGGATTTTTGAAAGATGCTGTTAAGAAGATAAGAAGAATGTTCATAATACTGGAGTTGTTCCTCAAAGTTGTTGGTTTTAACTTTTTTTTTTTTTTGTACATTCAGCTTCATCTAAATAGATGCAGTCTTTATCTGTACAGATAAGAATATGGTGGTTAGTATATTTGATTGCTTTATCATGACATTCTTGTAAATTATTAGGTTTTGTAAAGTTTAGTTTAGAAGGCATAACTTCTTTTAGGTAAAGGATGAATTTTTGTCAAAATTGGTATTTGAGTGCATTAAAAACCTTAGTTTCATCTATAGGTTTAGTAAATTGGCGATTATATAATGGAAAAAATTGCTTAAACTACTGTTTAAAGTGATCAAATAAGTTTTTGAGAGATAGGATATTAAGTTTTTGTAAAAAGAGTGTTTTAAAGATATTGAATTTAAGATATATATTGAATTTGCTGTCTGAACTAATTGTAAGATATTGTTTTTCTTTATTGAAGTTTACTACTTCTGATAAAATTCTAAACCTTTTAGGTCTAATTTGAATATCTTTAGTGAATTTAATATTGTTGATAGCTTGAAAGTTGTTTGAAAGATAGAGGTGAAGGTGAGCAAGATTGATACAAAATTGTAATCAATTTGGACTTGTATAAGAGTAAATAGTTGCAGATGATGCAAAGATTTTTGGATAGTTAAGTTTTGTAAAGAATACAGTAGTAAATATAAGAATTAGTTTTTTAAGAGTTTCTTCAAGTATATTAAAAGGAATAGTTATAGCTTTGTTAGTATTTGGGTTATTTTTTTGAATGAACTCAACTAAAAATTGGGGTCTTTCTTCTGCCATTTTATAAATTATATAGTAGAAGCTAGCTTTAAGGGCTGGTTGGTCACTAATTTTTGGTTTAATTTCAGTTCCAGGCCTAAAATCATATAGATACTGTTTAAGAAAATTAAAAATTTTTTTAGCAAAATCTGTTTGGAGTTGAGATTTGTCTTTCATTTTTTCAATAACAGAGAAGTTGGCAATTCAGTCAAATGTAGGATTAGTTTTAGTTTTGTGTTGATTGTTGTTAGTATTAGATTGTGTTTGCTGTTGTTGTTGTTTATCAGATTGTTGTTGTTGTTTGTTTAATTGTTGTTATTGTTTATCTTGTTGTTGTTGCTATTGTTGTAACTGTTTGTTAAACTGTAATGATTGTTGGTTATCATTGTTGATTATATTATTATCCAAGTCCATAGTATTTGAATTGCTAGTGTGACTTGCAGATGATGTAGTAAAGGTAAGTTCAGATGCTAGTGGGTTGTAGGAACTGATTGTTTGTTGGAGTTTTTGGATAAATATAGGGGAAGAACTTGATTGTTGAGAGGGTTATTAAATATTTGCATATAATTTATGATGAGGTTTGTTATTATATAAAATTGCATCTGCTACCAAGTAATGTTGATTATTTATTTCTTTGCAGGCAATAGGCAAGTTGCATTTAGCACATTGATGGTTGTGTATAGTAGATAAGGGTAATGCTATAGGTGATGGTGAAATAAATTTGGTAGAGTTTGCAATATTATTTGCTAAAGATTTTTTATCTTTAGATTTTTTGTTGATGATGATGACTTCATGTTGTTTGTAGATTTGGTTAGTAATTGAAATAAAGTAAGTATAGAACTTGTCACAAAAGCATGTAATAATAGAGCTAGATTCAGATGCTTTAAAGTAATGATAACTTTTAGTCTCTCCTCTAAGTTCTGTAATTGAATAGTTGTTTGGTTGCTTATTTGCAGAAATTGGATATAATGTGTTTGCTGCATCTTCAAGAATACCAATACCAAAGCTTTTAGAACACTTTTGGTAAAAATAATCAAGATTGATGATGTCAGGTGCAGTTGTTATTAAGGTCAGCATTTTGTTTTAAAAATAGGTCTTTAAGTATGTTTTACAAAAAAATTCGGTTGTTTTGGAGGTTTCTAAACTAGTTAGGAAAGTTTGAAAAAGTGTATAGACTTCAGATAAGCTAATTGGATGTTTAGAAAATTTTAATAGATATTAGAAAAATAAAATTTCTGGGGCAACCCTGTAAATTTTTCTAAAATGCAATAAAAAAACCTGCAAAGAGCAAGTTTTTGTTTTTGTTTTTTGCTTGTATCTCTATGAGTTTTGGTCTGTTTTGGATAACTTATATATTAAAATGTCCATCTCAATGAGCTGAACAACTTTTAAATAGATAAGAAGATATGTTTAATTAGTAAAATTATGTATAAATAACCAAAAACCAAATATTTAATTTTTTAAACTTTTCTCAGTAGCTGGGTGTTTTTGAAACTTAAAACACAGCTGCCTAGAAGGAGAAAAGTGTGCTGAATAACTTTACTTAAAGGGCTAAGTAAGATTTAGTTAGTAAAAAGTTGGAAAATAATTAAATGTTTTTTTGTAGTTTTGGTATAAGTGATCTACAGAAAGAGTTTATTATTACTACTATTTTATACAGAGATAAAAATACAATTAGTTATATATATAACTTATAGTTAGTGCTTGAATCCGGATATAAATCAGATATCCAGATAAACATCCCATTTTAATTCTCTTAATCTAGATGTATAAATAAATATTGGTTGATTATTCGGTTTCAAATTCAGATTGTATTCAGATTTTAATATATAAATAAAATATTATGCAAATAGGCCTGTTAAGAGTTACTTCATGTTGTCTCAATGCATTTGCACATTCTAATGCTTTGTTTAAACATTTCTATTTCACAATAAATTTTACCATTTCTGCACTTCATACAGGTTAGATGAAACTTTTTTTTTATTACTGAAGTTTCAAATTATTGGAGCTTAAACTTAGTTCTTGTATAAAAATCACAAAATTCCTAGGCAATCTTAAAGCTAAATATTCATTGTTTTTTTTTTTACTTTTTATTTTATATTATATAATGCTTTTAAATTTTAATGAATTATTGACTTTAATTTAGGTTTCAAATAATGATAATGATAGTAATATTGTTAGATCACAAGTTAATCACTAAATTTAACTATATATGAGTATTTTTGATTATTAATAATATTTTACCCTTTTGCTCTCTCAGTGCAGGATTTAATATGATCACAAGGACAAAATTATTTTTAAAAAAAATTTATTTGGCATAGCTTCTATCTAATATGTTCAAACCTGAATAGAATTAAACAGTTATTTTGACATTAAAAAGTATCGTATTATTAGCTTTATACTATTAATATATATTTTGAATGACAAGTTTGTTATATAGTTACTAAATAAGACAAAGTTTGTTATATATTTATTTATTTACTAGACCTAATAAATATATATTGTTATATTAACTAATATTTGTATTTACAAAATTCGATATTATTGTAAGTTATATATTGTAATATAGAACTTTACTACAAATATATAATATAATATTGTTTAAGAAAAATAGTTAGAATAATGCTTGGTATTCCTCACAATGAATATTATTTCAACTATGGCTCAAATATAGAACTCAGAATACTGATATTTTGTTTAAGAAAAAAAATTCTTTTAAATAAACTAGTATTAATTGATGTACATTTTGCTGTTATTAAATTACTTGCATTCAAAAATAAGTGTTCACTAGGGGTTGATGTAGAAGGTATAGCCAAATATTTTCTTGCCAAATTAGCAAGAATCAGAAATTTTTCTTAAATATCTTTTTACTAATTAAATGGATTAGTTGTAGTTAGCATTTGATCTATTTTAAAATATTTATCTACTTCATTTTTATTTGATGTTAATGTTACATCTGACCCAAACATTATTGAAAAAGGCTTATTTGATTCTTATTTTGCTCTACATTCACTAAGCTGATAATACTTTCATTTCCAATACTAAGTAAATCATATTTTTCTTGCAAAAAATCAATGGCCTTATCATGTTCCCAATTATCTAATTTTTTTATTGACTTACAATATAGATCAAGTAACATTGCAATTAAAGAACAATCATGAGGTGCATTTTAATAATAGTCTAATGCTTTATATAAACTCTTTTTTATTTTTTCTATTAGGTTATCTGTATTTTAAGGTTAACTAAGTTTAAACTTACCTCCATTAGCTGTAATAATTATTTCTAATTCTTTATCTACATTGACTATATTCTCTTTTTTCTCTTCATCAAAAATAGTTGCCATATTTGTTAAATTAAGTTCTTCATTACCTATACTTGTTAACAATGGCATACAATTTCTAATAAGAGTGTTGATAGCTGGCCACATAAAACTAAGTGTAGTATAATTACTACCTCTTAGCAATTGTGTAATCTCAGCAAAAGGTATCAAAATTATAGTTAATTCCTCAAAAACTTTCTATTCTTCTTCTGTAATTATTAAGGATTTTAAGTAAATTGCATCTTTATGAATATTATAATCATTATCTGTACTCATAGTTGCTTTCATTAATTTAATAACATGTTTAATTTGAAGAAGCCATTTTTATGCAATATATGAGGAATTCTAAAGAGTTAAAGTATTAAATATTGCATAAAAAAACTCTTGTTCATTATTATTAATATTTTTTTTTAAAATTTTTATCAATTCTTGTGCTTTTTATAATTGCTTATTTTGTTTAGATGTAGTCAAAAAGTTAATCAATCTTTTTGCATATTTTATTAAAACTTCTGCAGATTTTAACTCTTTACCAATAGCAAGCTAAAGTGTATGGGCCATATAAGAAACCTGCTCTATACCTATTAAATTAATAGCCTTAATTATATTCATGGCATTATCAGTAATAATTGAAATTACTTTTTCAGAAATCTCCTAGTCATTAATTATTTTCTCTAATTTAGCTTTAATGTTTATAGCATTATGAGAATATGGAACATATTTAATTGCAAGTAAAGCTTCTTTTAATTCATAATTAGAGTTAATAAAATGATATACAATACATATATATCTGCTTTTAGAATATGCAGTTCATAAATCACATGTTAATCTGCATGTTTTTATTTCTGTTGCTAGAAGTAATATAAGATTTTTCATTGAATGATTATAACTTTGATAAATTAGTACCTTTACATGTTTATCAGATGGAAGTTTGTAATATGGATTTAAGGTATAAATAAGTTTAATAAAACTTTTATTTTTCAAGACATAAAAAGGTTGCAAATCTGTTACTATCCATTCAACCAAAGCATAATTGATAGATTCTTTTTACCAGGTATTTTGTCTAGCAGCATGATGGAACATTTCAGAAATTGTTAGTTGTTTGATTGCATTAATAACTTTGGCAAGTTTAGTAATTTCATGTGTATTTAAATGTGCTTAAAAGTTACTAGTTGAATCCTGAGTCTTAACTAACTGCCCACATTCTCGTTGTCCATTTGGTACCTTTTTATCTTTTACAATTATGATACAATTTCTATATGTTTTTTATTTTCATAATAGATGTTTTCAGCGAAAATACTGCCAAATCCAATTAGAGTTTTTTTGCAATTTAGTTTTAGTACTAGGTTTTTTATTAGAACAGTTTGGATTATTATTTTTATTAGAATGGTCTATATCACTAGTTTCATTAGAATGATCTGTAATTATATCAAGGTTCATACTAATATTATTTCTATTTAATAATTCATTACTAAAAGTATCATTATGCTTAGGATTAGTATCAGAATTTGATATTGCATTAGAGTCAGTATGGTCTTTGGATTTTTGTTTTTTAGCACTCATTGTTATATACAGAAGAAAATTTTATTTTGATAGAATTTTTTTTTTTTAGAATATTTAGTCTTTAAATAGAACTGATAACAAAGTATTGACTCTATTCAGAATATATTGCTTCATTATAGAACAATAAAGGCTATTGAATAGAACAATAACTTTTAAAATTTTTTTTTTTAAAAAAAATTGATCATAATTCTAATTAATTATTTCTATTGTTTGAAATTAGGTGAACATATTACAATGAACTGATGAACAACTGATTAGAGTCATAGTTAAAACTAAAGGTGTAGACATTAGAATATGAAATAATATACAGTATAGTTGTAACTGGGTAGTTACCCAATTTTATATGCCATAAGAGGGTAGTTACTCTTGACCTGAGAAATGTTGACATCTTTAGTTAAAGCTGTTTACTAAAAGTATTTTTGAATACTTTCAGTAAATTCCGAACAAAAAAAATAGTGACTTCTAAAAAATTAAAATAAACTAATAACATTTATGTTAAACTTGTTACAATGTGTTGATTTGGACTGATATAAAATGTTGTCTTTTTTTGAAAAAAAAAGCATTATATATATATATAGCATATCTAGTTAACATGTCGAAACCTCATTAACTTGGACTAATAAAAATATGTAGCAAAGTATTTTAAAAAGTAGACTTTTAGTAAATTTTGCCAACCAAAAATACTATGAATGTATGAGCATACTAAATTTTCTGTTGCTTACAGAATACTGCATGATAACAATTATACAATCATTGAATAATGACAGCTTTTAATGCAATATTCAATAACTATTGAGATCTGGAAAAACATTTATAAAATTAGATTACTATGCTAACTAAAAAAAGAAATTAATTTGCATCATGCATTATTCATTCATTACAAGAAAGTTTTTTATTCCCACAAGTTACTAAACCACTGCACAGCTTCTATCCAATGAAAAATGAGTAACTTACATAAATGAATTAATTTAATAAATAGGCTTTATAAATCGATTATATTATACATGCAGATAATTAATTATTATTAAATCCAGATAAAAATAGATTTGAAATTTTTTTAAAAAAAATCTGGATTTGTAATCCTCTTTTTCAAATAAATATCTGTTATTCTTTTTATATCTGGATATATCTGGATTTTGTAAACCGGATCCAAGCACTACTTATAGTTGCTTATTTAAGTAGTTCATCTTAGGTTTTATACTAGATGCTGTATTTATAATCTAATAGAAGATTATTTATTTAAACTTTTTAATTATCTATTTTATCATTTATGTAACACTATTATATTCTTTATATATAACAAATATACTATCTAAGCAATATAGTATCTACTTTTTTGTACTAGTTCTCAGTTTTTTTAAATATTAAGGTGAGTACATGTGATCCAGAATTTTATTAATAATATCAGTTGGTCAGCATTTGTTGATGTAACAGTGCAGAGATAATTATAGAAAGAGTGTACAACTAGCCACTCATACAACTTTAGTCATTGTCTAATTTAAGTAGTCCACATGAAGGTTCTACACTAGTTGCTATACCTAGAATTCACCTGTAGGACCTCTATTTAAACACTCTGATCTTGTATCTACTACACCCTACCAACATTCTGGTAAACCAGTAAAAATATGCCATGGTTACTAAGTCATATTTAACTTTGTACTAAACCTATTAGTGCATTCTGTATCCCATACTTATAGCTTACCCAGTCATGCTTTGGTCTAAACCATCACTTGTAGTCAGGGCTAACTATTAAACTACTTTTACCTTTGTAAGATTCATCCAAAACTCCAATACCCATCTTTCTAATATTCTCTTCATCATCCCCTACTAACCGCTACTTAGGACTGACAGGACTTCTTAGACTTCCAATCCAGATGGCCCAGTATGGTATACCTTAGTATCTTTTTTCTCTGGCAATTCTGGCAGCCTGATTGGTCATATGCTTCTCTACACATCTTGCTATTCAGTTTATCCATCTATTCCTTTGGGAGTGTTTCATAGGCTTTCATCAGTCTAACAGCACCATCAAAAGTTTTGTGCTATCTTTTTATTTGGGATTTTTAAGTGGGTTTTTAACTCTTTAGTTCCTTTGCTTTCTGTGCCTAGTGGTTTTATCATGGGTTTGCACTAAAGTTTTATACAATACCGATTATTAACATTCCTCTATATAGGTATAATGTTATACTTAGCATAGATGCCCCAAGCTTCTATTCGAGATGATGCAACAAAGGTTACAGATATACCAATCCAACTGATTGACAGAGACAGTAATCATAACACAGATCTATTTTTCAAAATTCGTTATCCATGGAATTTGAATTTTAGACCTGCCACTTGGGGGTTAACAATCTAACTATTTCACTAAGTCATCACACTCCAGTTCTCAGATTATTATACATTTTAGAGTATAATATCTGCTAGTAAAGTACAGAAAGCTTCTTTTTTTAACTATTTATCTAGTTTATAAAACATTAACAAGACCTATTCTTACAAAGTTTACCTAAACCTTAGTACTAACTCTATAACATATTTTTAGTACTTTTAGTATATCTCTGTTTTGTTTTTAGACTTTTAATCTAAATAGTTTAAAAGAACTGTTACTTGTTTTTAGTATATTAAGGCCAGCCTAATCTTTTTTTATTTATTTTAAAATTTGATAGCCTAGTTGATAGTACCTCTTACTCAAGTTTTTTGCCTGTTTAATTTCTTCATATTAGTATCTGTTTTCTAGATTTATTTTTTATAGTAGTACTATTAACAATTTATATTACCTTTTTACTTAAATTTTTTAAGTAAGCTTCAGTTTTTTTAGTTTTATAAATTTATATAATCATAAGAACTTATCTTAGATTTGTGCTTCTTAGTACTAGTTTGCATTTCTCTATATAACCAAGATTATACAAATGCTTTATAACTTGCCAATTATATTAGTATAATTATAATTACAGATATTTTATTCTAACTAATTAACAGAATACTATTACTATAATATCATCTATATATTATATAGTTAATTATTCAAATTTTTACTATTAGTAGATTTTAACTTATAACTTACTACTTAAAAAATTGACAACTTATTTATTTCACTAAGTTACCAACCTTCAATCTTGTAATTTTAATTACTATTAATAACTTATAGTATTGTAAATATTAGATTTATAAATATATTTTATGTTAATAAAAATTAATAATAAAAAAATATCTTTTGTTTTAGTTTATTATTATGTAGCTTTTTTATTAATTTAAAATTATTTTAATTATGTTTTCTTATAATATTGCTAAATTTTGTAGCATTAAACAGAGGTCATAGTTGTGCTTTAGACACAATTTAATAATAACAAATTCTTTGTTATATTTGTAATAATATATACTAATAGTAAAGAAATATCTAATATATTTAATAATATATATGCTATTTGTTCTAGTATATTTTCTTTATATTTTTATATACAAAAAGTGCTTGCTTATAATTATTGCCAAAATTTTTTTAAAAATTATAATAGAATTTATTTGTGTTGTATATTTTTTATTAGTTGTTAAACTTTAGAAAAGTTACAAAAGTGCATTCAGATTTAACAGTACTAATATTAATTGTATTGAAAATTTTCAATATATTGTTTATATTGCAATAAACTCTAAATTGTTTAAAATTTAATACTTATTTAAGTTTTATTTTTTTTTATTTTTTATTTTTTTAATATTAAGATGAATATATGTTATTTAGGATTTTATTAATAGTATGTTTTAGCTAATAGCTATTTGTATAATAATTACAAAAGCAATTATAAAAAGAATATACAACTCCTATTTGTACAACTTTAATCATTGTTTAATTTAAGTAGTCTGTTTGAAGGTTTTATACTAGTTGTTATATTTAGAACCTATCTGTAAATTTTTTATTTAAACACTTTAGATCTTATTTTTACTTTTCTCTTACTAATAATTTTAGTAAACTAGTAAAGTATATTATAATTACTAAGTTATATTTAACTTTGTAATTAAACTAACTGAAGCTTTCTATATTTTATACTTATAGCTAATCTAGTATTGCTTTAGTCTAGACTAATATTTGCAATCAAAGTTAATTATTAAACTGCTATACTTTTGTAAAATTTAATTAAATCTTAGTACTTACTCATCTTTTTGACATCTTTTTTATTATTTTTTATTAACTATTACTTAGAACTAACAAAATATTTTAAATTACTGACACAAATCATAAACTCTTTCCGATAATCACTTGTACCAAATTTCTACTGCAAACATTTGACTCTTACTCAATATTTTATTAAGTAAACTGCTTTTGGACGTCTAAGTAAAGTTGTTCCTAACA